AGCTGTTTTCAGCACGCCATTTCAGTGCATATAACTTTAAATGACAATGAGCTCTGCTCACCCCGCCTCTCTGTTCTGTGCGTACACCGTTTGTAACTCAATAACACAATAACCATAACGCGTTCAGTATAAACGTGGAATTATGAATTATATTGAGAACGTCATACATAGAAAACATGCCGTAATGTACCCTAAGTGTAAACCTTAGACGCATTCATTGTGAAGCGTGCAGGTAGCGATTTGCAAAGATTAATATATTAATATAAAGTTTAATAAAACGTTTCACTCACTTCCGTTCTTCTGGAGATTCAGCAGGAACACGAATATCTGGTACCGATCCTTTTTAGCAAAGCTTCTTAGCAAATCCAGCTTTATACTGATCCTCCTTTATAAAGCAGTCTTGTGTGTGAAATGATTCGCGCAAACATGAGAGCATTGACGTTGCTCGTGGGGAATATTCCCTTCGAAAACAAACTCAGCCACTGCGTCTTCAGCGGTTCGGATTTAGGAACATCAAAATGACTGTGTTCGTTATTACACCCAAGAACAGAACACCACAATCGCTTAGACACCATTCTGCTCATAGACAGTGCTCCAGCATATCAACAATGAGCGCGCCGGTCCGTGCCGCGCAGACTATGATTGACAGCTCCCTCATGAGCGAGGGCGGGTCTGTGTTGAAACGCTCCCGTCAATCAACAATCGTGGGAGGGGCGTGCGATAGTGATGCGCGGGTCGACTCGTAACCCGCGGCCCCCGCGGGTAACCCGCGGGTCGGGTTGGGGCGGGTAAAGAAATTGTCACTTTATTTGCGGGGCGGGTTGGGGCGGGTCATTAATTTTTTTAAAAAATTTTTATCCATGTATGTTGCTTGCAATTTCCAGCCTTTATTAAATATTTGGGAATATCTATTTTCATATTTTATTAGGTTATTTGATAAGGTTACAATACGAATGCCGTAGCAACGTAACTTGCGTGAGGTTCCCAAACCTTTGGCGTCACGTGACACGTCACGAAAGCGGCGCGCCAAGCAGCTCCGCAGCTCCCGCCGCCAGCCACGACAACAACAACAACGGAGAAATAAAAGTGAAGATGGAAGACGAGGTGCGGGAGAAATTGAGGTCGGGAATTTACATGATTAAAAGAAAAAAAAGGTCAGGCTGCTAAATCTAATGTTTGGGAGCTGTTGTCAGAAGTAGTTGCAGCAGGAGACAACAGTAGGCTAGATCGGCTACCTGAGGTGCAACTCGTGTGAAAAATATACAAACAGTAGCGCCACAAAACGGGCACTTCCAGCATGTCAAGACATATTTGGGGGTCTAAGAAATAAAAAATGATTTAGCCTAATAGATGAATACAAACGCTGCTTTGTAAATGTTAAAAATGTTTATATGACCTGATTTATGGTTCATATTCATAATCGTCTGTTGTTGCCAGTTTACAGGGCGATGTTTCCAAGCACTTTCAGGCTGAAATAAAGGCTGTTTTCATTTAGCCTATACATTACAGTGCCTAGTACTATGTCTATTTAACGGTCGCGGGTGCGGGGCGGGTTATAAAAATAGATACAGTGGTGCGGTGCGGGCCAAATAATTTCATAAAAGCGGGACCCGCGGGTTGGAAAAAAAGCCGACCCGCGCATCACTAGCGTGCGAGTCTGTGACGTCACAGGCTCGAACGGCTCGATTTGAGGCAGGGGAAAACATACAAGGAGATTAAAACAAAACCACTGGATGGATTTTTATCATTATATGATGGTTGTGTACAGACACTGCCAACACACATTTCAGTACAATCAACTTGTAAAAGTGCATGTACCATTATATGACCCCTTTAAAGTCTACGTGAGCGAAAAGTTGCAACCAACTTTAAATTATTATTGTGACGTATTTTCAAGTGAAATGAAATGTAGAATAGAGTGCCAGGCTTCATATCAGTGGCTTCATCTCTTCACTGATGGTTAGAAGGGAGTGGTTAAGCATGATCCGCCCCAGGCCGTCAAACTGACATCATCAGAGAAAGGACATCATCAATTTTCAGATTTTGATCAAAGATTACAAAAACGATTTATTTCTGTGGGTATCTTAGACAGATAAATTGTTCACCACAAGACCAGTAATCTGCACTAACAAAGTAAAAAAAGGTACATTTTGATTTCATGCAGACTTTAAAGTATGAGTCAAAAACACAATCAGCAGAATTATCCTCCTCATTAAGCTCTTTGTAAACTCTATAAATATTTAAGGTTTGTCATGGGAATGGTGTTTGGAGGGGACAAGCTCTAATTAGATGCATAACAACAACCAGGATATGCTAATCAATGACACACTTTTTATAATTACATTAAATATGAATGGATGTGAACACTGAAAAGGGGAAAAATAAGAAAGAAGTCGACATGCTTTTTTGTTCTCTCTCTGTGAACTAGTCAGTGTATGTTAACTTGCATTAAAAAAAGAAACGTTCACAACAAGTTCCTCTGGTTGAACAGGGTAGCCAACCATCAAGCACATAATAGAGCGCCATGACTGTCTATACATGCCGTGATCTCGGTTTTATACATGTATACAATCATACGCAAACACACAATAGCACTGTGAATCAGCACTGAAGGTCTAGCTGATACATGCCTCAACCGCAGCCTCTCATAAACCATTAGACACACCCACCGATGACGTTAAACAGCGCCTGAAGATGTTCATTTCTACCCTCACTAACAGTTATAGCATTCTGTTGTATCAGTTTCCAATAGTGCTGGGCAAAATAATGAATATTTACACTATGTGAGCACTTTAGATATATTAATAAATTATGTCCTTGACATCAAACATGCTATCGAGTTGGGTTCACTGTCTTCGTTAGATCAGTTCTTTTGAATTGAGACCAAACTGTTAGTAGTCGTTCACACAGAATGTGTTTTTGCATTCCACTTCTTTTTCTACGCTAACATGCTAGATCGACGTGTTTGACCATTGCATTAAAATTCATGTCTATCATCATGCATGTACATGACGGGGTATAAAACATTTTGAGATTGTCCACTTTCATATAGTAATTTCAGGTAAAATCAATATTATCAAATCCATCCATCCGTCCACTAATTCAGGTGCCTTGTAACAAGTGGGATATTGTACAATTATCTGTCATTATCACAAAATAAAACCTTTCAAAATGAACACCCTGACAGGCGATAATAACTGGTTGAGTTTATGTTATCCCTATATTAGGGGTGGGCGATATGAGCAAAAATTCATATCACGATATTTTTCACTGTCGGGACGATATCGATATTATATCGCGATATGAGGGAAAAAAAATTGGAATCACATTTTAGTACGCCTTAGTTAAATTACAGGCAAAATATGTATTTTAACACTAGATAACTAGAAAAAGGTGAGGCATTTCATTTGACACATTTTTTTTCTCAAAAAGTGCAAACGTGCAACATGAGGTAGGCCTGAATGCACTTATGTCTTTCCACTTTTTGCTCGTCTTGTCATAATGAGAACCGGCAGCGAATGAAGACTTTATTGATTTCTGAGTGAGAGCCGTCTTCGGGTGTGCTCTGTCTCCGGGAATATCTGTTGTTATAGTTTTGCTTTTTTAAATTAGTTTTTATTTTAATATCGTTTTCAATTTTGTTTTCAATTTAAGTTTAGTTTTAGCTAGTTTCATTAATGGTTTTGTTAGTTTTTTTTTATTAAGTTTTTATTTTGCAAACACATTTCTATATAGTTTTTATTTTATTTAGTTTCAGTTTTAGTAATTATAGTTTAGCTTTAGCAGAGCGAGCAGAACACTTCCAGTGTAGACCAAAGCGAGACGTTTAATTTAAGTTTAATGTTTGCACTGATTACAGTTAACTCTTGTGCAGACATCTTAATAATAAAAATAAAATAATGGTTTGAGATTGAACAAAGCACCAAATAAATAGAACTTAAAATTATACAAGAAAAAACAATGAAAATTTTCATACAAACTAATTCATTAGTGTAAGGAGACAGAATAAAGGCCTAAAGTTTGTACAGTATAAAACCATAGTATAAAACCCATTACATCTATGGAGAGTCCCCAAAGATAGTTGACCAGTGTGTGTGTATGCGCGCGCTTATGTGTGTGTCGTGTGTATGCGCGCGCTTATGTGTGTGTCGTGTCCTGTTATTCATAGCCTAACGTTACATTGCGGGGAAATGTCTCCACGTGGATACTATTATTAGCAGTAAATGTTTTGTAAAAACAAAGATAATAATAGCAGCTTTCAGCCTTTCAACCTTCATGAAAACATGACATCTCAAACATACAGTAGCCTGGAACTTTAACGTTTTTTTGTGCTTGACGAACTTGTTTTGGAGTTGCACCCGCGTCTCGCAAATGAAACGGCATTCTAAAAATGCTGCGATCAAGTTAAAAGTCAAACTTGCGTCTCATTACCTTGTAATTTCCCATTCCACCGCAAAAGATGCATCCTTTATGAACAGCCGCTTAGCACTAGCGATGTGTTCTACGTTACGTCCTTCATTGAACGCGTCACAGGACAGCGGTTAATCGCCTCAGCAACTTCACGGGTATGAAGCGCCAAATCAGCCATTTCCTTAAACAGCGTATTCGATTCTGTATCGTCATTAGTGTTAACAGTTGTAAAGAGTAAGTTACCAAATTGAACAAAACAATATAACTGCATAATTTGAATTTATGAATACGGTATCCTCGGTATCGCAAAATCCATATCATGGCACAACATAATACCGGTATTCACGTTCATACCGGTATAGCGCCCACCCCTACCCTATATGGACAAAATGCTTGGAAACCTCAGCCCAAATTTCCAATGAATGCAATATCTATGAATTTTAGATATGCCATTCATTGGGAACTTAATAAATTCTCTGTGAAATTCTCATATTGTGAACTACAATAACAGACAATAGAAAGTACGGCAATGTATCCAATGCCACATGCTTCAAAAAACAAACCACAACAAACATGTGACCAGCACTGACCCGTCTCGGGAGGGTTTATAGCGGATGAAGGGTCCGCTGTGTCCCGGCACTCCCAGTGCAGTGGAGTTAAACCCAGAGGCTGGACTGGAGAAACTAGCCGAAGGGTTTCTGTACGCCATCCCTCTGTCCCCGCCAAGAGGAGACACACTGTAATGGTTCTCTGGGTAACTGACAGGCCTGTGGGAGGAGACGGAAATAGCTAGTGAGAAGAAAAACAAAGCCAAAATATGTGCCTAATAGTTGGTTTTCCTGAGATTTTAACCATATGCCGAAATCTCTCGCCTTTTAGCAGAGATGTGTTGGGGCTCTCTGTATGGAATGGGGACCAGAGCTTTGTGGGTACGGCTGGGGACTGGTGGGGGTCCGCTGGGGGTCCAGCGCTGGGCAGAGCTGTGTGTACCCGGGGGACTGTCCCAACGCCATACTGGGGTCCGCTGCCCCGCACGATACCCTGCAGCCACTGGCTCCGCTTCTCCCTTCTGCTCCATCATCTTCATCTCGTACTCCTCCGTACAGCCCCTACAAACACACAAACATTACATAAATCATTCAAATTTAAATATGCAAATACCGGCTTCAGTACTCTAAAATCGTTCATCTGTTCATAACTCATATCTATATAATATCTCTAACTATATCTATATATTATTATAATTATAACTATATATTTATATAATTATAACTATATATTTAAATAATTATATTGTCATTTTTTATAAATATACTGTTTAATTTATACACTATTGTCCAAAAGTTTGGGGACAGCAAGAGTCCCTTATTTAAATTCCTCGCCAAGATTAAATTAAAAACGGTAATATCATTAAATATTATGAAAATTTAAAATGACTGCTTTGTAATTTATTCCTGTGATGCAAAGCTGAATTTTCAGCATCATTACTCCAGCCTTCAGTGTCACATGATCCTTCAGAAATTATTCTAATATGTTGATTTGCTGTTCAAGAAACATTTATTATTCTAAGTGTTGGAAACCATGATTTTTTTTGTGATTCAGTATTTCATGATTCAGGATAGAAGAACATTTATTTGAAACAAATCTTTTGTAATATTCTAAACGTCTTTACTGTCACTTGAAGAAATGAATGAATAAAAGTATTTCTTAAAATCATACTGACCCCATACTTCCCAACGGTAGTGTATATAAATATATTATACCCATTTAAATAAATGCATTAAACTTCTGGGAACAACTACACCTCTTCACAGAGATCATAGAAACAGCCACCGAAACCGTCTGATTCTGTCACGCCCTCATTTCAAACAATATTTCCATAGAAGTCTATTTTTGCCGTTTAATATTTCAGATAAACCCAACCCTAAGCAACACGTGAATACAAAAACTGTAGTTGGACTTTTATCATGTCAGTTTCTTCCCTGTCTAAATGAGTGGTTGTTGGTCAGAGTAAGTTGGAATGAGGATCAGATGTCCGATTGGATCCGATTGCTAAGCGCGACTAGGGTGATCATGACCATTTTAAAGCAGATGAAAACTCTTCATCCCGTGTTAAAGGTTAGAGATTTTAAGGGATGGTTGAGCGAATGATTCTGTAGTAATTTGAGTGTGTGCTTAAGCACAGCGGGTCTGGTTTACTGGCAGATTAGTCCCAAAATCCCTGTTGACCAGTACAGTAACCTCTACTGAATGCCAAACAGCATGAGACACTCTCATCAGCACAAGAATCCCTCTGGGTCTCTCTGCTTTCTGATGATGATGAGAAACTGAAACCCACTCTGAACCCCTCACACTGTCAGCACTTTACCACAAGGACTCAAGACAAGGTAACTTTATCGTTCTCATTTAGATTGTCAGTACCTTTTCCTGTTTCACCTTTTTTTTTTTTTTAAGAAATGAATACTTTATTCATCAAGGATGCATTAAATTGATAAAAAGTGACAGTAAAGACATTTATAATATGGCCACGTTCACACAGCAGCAGAATACAGTTGTCAATCCTGTATTTGAGTCCTTAATACGGTTACGTTCACACACAGTTCAGTTATTTATGGGAGTGACAACCGCATTCTATAACCAAACACACACCCGTAAATTTTCAGGACTCACAACCGCGTTCTCAGAAACCCTGCAATGTGTGAAGCAGGCTGGACAATATATCTCGATTGGACTCTTGCCATGTCAAAATGACAAGACTTCAGTTTTATGGACGTCGCCATCTTTGATATTACCGATATTCCAGCCCTTAACCTAGTGGCACCTTCTGCTCCCTGACATCTATATTTCATAAATCATATTTATTGTATGCTGCTACCTATTATCATCCTCCATTCACAGGGAGGGAGAAAAAGACAGTCAAACCGAGAGTCAGAAAGCCAAAATGAGACAAAAGAAAGCAAGGAGGAGAGGGAGAGAAGGAGGGGGGAGTGGAGAGCACACCAGGCCCCACATGGTTTCTGTCTAATATACCAAAAAACTCTCTTCTGAAGACCACAAGGACATATAAACTAGCCCTGACTGACTACACACACGTATAGAGAGCGGATGGAGACAGAGGATGTCAACTGAATACTAACTATTCACCGTATTGGTAAAACTCATGTTTATATAAACCTGCCAGCTACATAGAGGTCCAAAAGTCTGAGAGCTAATGAAAATACTTCCATTTAACATTCCTTTTGTGTTATAATTTAATACAAACTTTTTCATTAAAAAAATATATTATGAACATGGTGAAATTAGTGAAAATTTACATTAAATTGAACATGAATTTAAGAATTTATTAGTATTTGCTTCGACCCCCTTTTGCTTTAATGACAACAGCATTTTGTGTAAATGATCTTCTGACTTCCTGTACAAAGATTCACATGATCAATGTCACAAATTTACTTCTTTAATCAGTGACATATGGAGCCCCACATATGACATGCGGGGAGGAAAAAAAGCAAGATATTGTGGCCACAACTTCAGAATCTGCTCTCACAACTTTATTCACTCCCGCGCCACGAGTCGCGATGAAACGGAAATAGCAATGGAAGTATTCGCAGATACGGCACGATTACAAACCGTTCTCGGCACGGTTGTCTAACTGTATAACCGTACTGGTATAATGCGTGTAGTGGCATCGCCACTCTGCCTGTTGCCCGGCTATCAGTTTTTCTGTAGCTAGCCAAGCACGCTATTTGATTGAAGTGAACACAAGTTAATAATACAATTTAAATAAATATCTGATCATCCTCCATCATTTTTTTCTGCTGCATGTCATGTGTGGGGCTCCAAAACATAAAAATAATGCATATCTTAAAATAATACAAATATTAAGCACATATTGGTAACACTATTTTACAGTGTCCCTGTCACGTTACATGTACTTAGTATATTAATACCAGAAATTATGCATAATTACAGCAACTAACCCTTAACCAAACCCTATTAATATTACATGTTACAGTGTAATTATACATTTAAGTACTAAGGTCACCTTAAAATAAAGTGTTACCTTATGGGAACACTTTAAAATACGGTTTTATTTGTAACATTTAACTAATGTTAAAAATGAAACCTTATTGTAAAATGTTACAGAAATATTTAAGATTTGGGTTACACTTTACATTACAGTAGTTAACATGAACTAACAAGGAAAGATACTTCCAAATCAGTTATTAATCTTAGATAAATGTTAATTTCAACATTTACTAATACATTAATAAAATCAAATGTCATATCAAATGTTAATATTATTTAATGGACCTGAGCTAACATGAACTGCCAATGAACAGATGTATTTTTATTAACTAACATTAACAAGGATGAATAAATACTTTAACAAATGTAATGCTCATTGTTAATATTAATCCATTTAATTACGTATAAAGTGTTACCAATATTTCTTATTTTACATCATAACGTTTCTTTGTTCAAAATTAAGACTGCCATCTTTAAAAAACAACAACAACAAAAAAAACACACACCATATTTTCAATGTGGTCTCAGACTTTTGGACCCTGCTGTACATTATGCTTAACTTAGAGAAAATTACAAATTCTCAGACAATTATCAGCACATGCAGTTTCTTGTTAAATACAGCACACATTAATGCTTCCTAATCAAACAGACTGAAGCCACGGGTGGACAAAGACTAGAAAAACCCCGAGCGTGAAATTACAGCCTCGCGTTGCTACACTGGAGATCTTCCTCTTCAGCACTGAAAGAGTGCTGTCAGCTCCAACACTCCTCTTTTACTGCCATCCATCCATCTACCCATCCAACACCAACACCGTGTCAAAGTATTTTCATTCCTTTGTCATTCACAGCTGTAACACAACTGAGTTCCAGCATTTCACGTCCATCCTCTCTTTGTCTCCAAGCCCATCACTAACCTCTGCGTGTAGACCAGATTGTTGTATCGGATGTCCGCAGCAGCGCCATGAGGCTCTGACTGACAGCTGAAGTACAAACCAACCCTGACAACCGGACACACACACACACACACTTCTGCTCTCCCACCCCTCCAATCCGCTCTTTCACTATGATAACAAGAGGAAAGAGAGAGAGAGGGAGGGAGAAATGGAGGGAGAAAGAGGAGGAGGGGTGTTTCTTTCCTCTGTATGTAACACCCTCCCACTTTGTTTCCCAGCGAGGAGACGCTCAGACATGCCTCAGCATCTACGGTCGAAATATCCTCTCCCTGCATGCTAAACACGCTGTCCGTTCCCTCTCAGTGTCACGCCGAACACGTTTCTTAATTAAAACCCCTTATTTATGTATTTTTAGCCCCCTTTTCCACAGGCTTTAGCCTCATGCAAACAGAGACTGGACCAGTGAGAGGGAAAAAGAAACAAACAGGAGGGAAGGTGAAAGAGATAGAATGACAAAAAGACAAGCATGTTGAAGCATGCAATTAGCACGCTCTTTCGTTCCTCTGCACAGTGTGGGTGGGGGTGTTGGGATGCATGTGTGCGCGAGAGAGAACGTTTCAAATAGAGTTTACTTGTGTAATTAACCACAACGGCGAACACATGTCCCTCTAGCATGCAATCAAACACACTGCTGCTGAGTAATTAGTCCCTTACAGGAGCCACTCAGCAGAAAGTTCAGAGACATGTGACGCTAAACTATGCAATATAATACACAATGTGCATTTCAAATGTACATTGAAACAAAACAAAAAATTACTTTAGATTTTTAGGACCACACCAGGGTTTTGAGGTCTGCATAGCATACGTACCTTTTCGATGCAGCAAAACTGAGGCTTCACATAATCACCGTTTTCATTTGTAAACTGTTCCATCCCTCTTCTCCTCTCCTCTTCTAACACTCTCTTTCTCTCTGTCCTTCTCTCTCTCTAACACTCCCACTCACTGTTCCCCTGAGAACTGAGGCGTCTGCCAACGTTCTCAAAATCTGGTAAGTGCCTGTGTGTATTTGTGCGCGCGCCTGTTTGTGCACCAGACAAGGGGGAGGTACGAGAGAGAGAGAAACAAAAGCTTTTCCCCTCTCGTTTGAAGATACATGTTATGCTTTTTGTATCACCTATAAAAACAAGTGAACCCTCAGTGAAATCTTTGAGTTGTGTCAGAGGGGTTTCCAGCTGGGAGGGCATCTGCAACAAGCAGCAATAATTCTGCCACGAGGTTCGCCATTAATCTTTCCAAAACGAGAATGTGTCTCCAGAGGGGTGCAAAGTGCAAAAAACCAATAACAGCAGCCCTGTCAGAACTGAAATGCGCTGCTTCCCAGATTTTAGGCTTAAAGTTGCTGTTTTCAGTACAGAATGACTTGATGAATTGAGGTTCCTTCCTTTATCCATCAGAGAACGTCTATTCTGTTCTGACTGCATTTCTATTTTGTGTTTGTCTTATTTCAAAGAAAAGGATTCCAGGATTGCACAGGATTTCAGCTGTACTGCACTCTACTAATTGTATATCTGGCATTCTTTAAAACATCCACACAAACAGGCGTAATCAAGGGATTTGATGCTCTCTCGTCTCTAGATCTCTGGAACATCACAGGCAACAGTACCCTGAATGAAGGAAGCAGTCGATGCTTTTGTCTCTGTATAAGACAGGCTGGAGTCCGACAGTCTTTAATGGTGTTCTCCGTTAATGATTTATCAAAGAAGAATGAATTTAATGGAGTCACAAGAGCTATCTAACGTTCTGATAAAAATGTTGGGCTAATGGCTTTTTGCTATCCTCTGCAGGGATATTCAATTAAAGTTCTAAGAGTTCCAACTTGTACATTTTCTTCCCAGCAAATGGCCAAACAATCATAGCTTAAACGGATTCAGAAATGAATTTCAAGTATGTAGTATGAAATCAAATAACCCAAATTAGTGCAAGAGCAATTATATGGCTTTATGGCTCTCTCATCGGATTTTTAAATGCACCAATTAAGATAGTTTGTCAGGGTATGTACGGGAGCAGGGTACAAAAAAACATGTTACTGAAGCTTAATTTAGCTTCAAACATGTCGTTTTTAAAATCTTCGTATATGCCACACCAGAATTCCTCAAATCTGGCCCTGGATCCTCAAAGCCTCATCAAACTACCTGTAATTTTCCAGTAAAGCCGGGTTCACACTGTATGATTTGTAATAGATCTTTATGACTGTTGCCATTCAGACTCTGTACGGACATGATTCTCTCTGTAAGCCATGTCACACTGTGGGATCTCAGTTGTCAATGTCAGACTGTACGACAGTCAAGGCGCGTTAAAAATGGACACACACAAGAAGACTTGTCGAGAGTTTTACATCATCAATCCGTGACACGTTTAGTGATGCGAGCTGCATTTACATGCGGGACAGAAATGGTGGCTAGCAAACAAAACAAAATCTCTAGCGTTCATTTTGATCATGGCTTTTCTTGAACAGAAAAATGGAAAGAAATGAAGACGATGTGTGTGGAGCGAGTGGTGGTTTGTTGTTGTCTCACTAATTGCATCATCAGCTTCGGCGCTCGTATTGATTTTTGATTTGATGGTTGTTGTAGGATAAGTCACACTACAGGACTGTGCATCAAATCTTCTGACACTGGCAGAATTTTGTAGGAGGTCAAATTTGATAGCAATTGTATTGGCTGTCGGTAAACATGTCAAACTAACGATCGAAGACTTCAGATTTTAGCCTAGGATCAATCTTTTAGGATTCACAAAATTTGTCTCAGGTGGCCAAATCGTGGCTAAAATTGCACAGTGTGAACCCCGGCTTAACCCTGTGATATACATTGTAAATGAATACCAGAACAACATTGGATAAGAACCAACAGTGTGAATGTGTAATGTATTGTTCACAACAACTGTCATTCCTCTCTGCCACATCAAAGTGTGTGTATATATATATATATAAATATCATGCATGCCGCATCAGATGTGGCTTCTGTGATCTAATAAATCATAAAGTATCTTGTGATGTGTACTGTTTTGCGAGGTAGTTGACTGACACACAACAGACAGCATTTGATTTCTCAAACAGCAGCCATTTACACCATCAAACTCAAAGAATAAGTGCAAATTCCCAAAGGCTCACCTGCGGGCCCCACCCTCTTCATAAGGTGGAATAATGACCACTTTTACAGTGACTGACGTCCGCAGTAAGTCGATCATCTGATCATGGGAGAGTGTCACCGCTGCAACCTTGCAGATTTCCACCAATCGGCTACCCTGCCGGAGTCCCGCCTGCCAAGCGAAACCGTATTCCTCCACCTCGGACACCGTTCCGTCCAAACGCACATGGAAACCAAGCTGCCCTAAACCATTACGTCGCAATGTCATATCAACCGTCTCACAACCTACAGTCAATGCCTGCAAGGGGAAAAAAAGAGACAGATAGGAGCTCAGAGACTATAAGGGTGTGTTCACATTTGTAGTTTGGTTGGCCACATGGTCCGCTTAGCGTTCACATTGGCATTCTAACACCGAACCTAAAGGCATTTGGATATGTTCACAACCTGATTGGTCGGCTTTTATTAGATATAATTTGCGCCGAAACTTACAGAACATCCAAATGCACGATGCTGTGTTCTGGGCTCAATGCGCTCACCCTACATATGATGGTATTTTGACCAGCTGAGAACTCGTGAAGAGCTTCTAAAATGTGTAAAGGAGTCAAAACAATCATCTAGATGACTTTGGTCGGTGTTGCATTCATATTTCATACGAACCGCACTAGAGTTTGTTTGGAAGTGGACCGAGACCCATCTTTTCAGCGTCTCGGTCCACTTAGGGTTCAGATGGCAGCGTTCACACTTATTCATTTACATTTACATTTATTCATTTAGCTGACGCTTTTATCCAAAGCGACTTACAATTGCTATATATGTCAGAGGTCGCACGCCTCTGGAGCAACTAGGGGTTAAGTGTCTTGCACAGTGGATTCGAACCCGGGTCTCTCACACCAAAGGCATGTGTCTTATCCACTGCGCCATCACCACCCCCTGCTCTGTTAGTGCGTTTATTCAAATGAAACGCACTAACAGAGCAATCGCACAAGGGTTCATTTTAATCGAACCAAAATGCCAAGTGTGAACACACCCTAAAAGGCACATCCCATAATGCAAACCAATAACTTAGCCATCTATGCATGTTGTATCAGTACCTTAAGTCTCTGCAGCACCTCTCTGATATCTTGTGCGCTGCCCTCAGGTACCCGTAAGGCCACATGGTCTCCTCTGCCATAGAAAATCTTCAGTGCAAGTCTTTCTGCCGTCCAGCCAATCACATCAGCACAGAAACAGTTAAACACCACCTCTTTGGTGGAGCAGTCCGCCAGCACTATATACTCATTGGAGACGGCAAGAGCACAAGGAAGCTCGGCGCCTCCGCCACTGTAGTCCTGCGCAAGTACTCGCCAAATAAGCGCCCCGGCGGCACCCATTTCTGCTGCTTCGCGAGCCCGGACGCGTTCTTTGCGTTTGGAGGCCAGAGAGATGAGATTGTTCAGTTTGCCAGCAGTGTCGAGCGGTGTAGTGGAAACACAGTTCTCCGCCAGGTCCCGCAGGTATCCTTGGCGTGTGCGGGTTGCCATGGCGTGAAACTTCTCTGATTTGTGCGCAGCATTCTCTGCATTAATGATCTTGGCCAGCAGAAAAGCACAAAAGGCAGCGGGGTCACGGAACATCATGCCATTTGAAGGTATCGCCGGACCAAACGGAGGGACGTCCTTCATGCGGGTCACTGCCACACTATAAGAAAAAAAAGAATAGCAAATTGGTCATTTCAACCAATCACAGCAGAGCTTTCGGTCACTGAACTGTATTTTCCATGACATATCTCAATAATCAGCTACAGAGAAAACATGCAATTCTGTACTTAGCAAGGGTTGCTATGGAAACAAGGCCAACCTGTAGCAGGTGTTGTCAGAGCAAGGGTTGTGCACACGGACAATGACGAACACGTGCTGGAAGTGAGAGCGAACATTCTGTGGAGTGAACGGATGGGCTCCTGGCTCCTGGAATATAATCGTGACTATATCATTTCCTATGTGCCTCTTCCTCAGGAGCTGTGAAAGAAATGAAAGGGAGAAATTCAATGCAATAAAAAGCTAGGAAACGTAAGAAAATGCTCCCACAGTGCCAGGGGTGTTGCTCTGCGCTTGCTAGGGCGTTCTAGATGGTTGCTAGGTCTCAAACCAGCCCCAATTACTGACCGTCTTATGCATATTGCACACAAAACTAGCAAGCTTTACTCTGATTGGCTGACTTTATGCTGGAAGTGAGGACACACTGGGTTTTTTAATCAGTCTGACTGGAAACAAATGAACTGTCAATTGAACAGTTTTTACATAAAAATAAATAAATAATAATAGTAATAATTTTCGAGATTACAGTGAAAAAGTGTAAACTGACATTCCCAAAGTATTATTCCCAAAATTTTAAAAATGTTACTTGAAAAATCATTTTATGTTTCTTGATCAGTTATTTACATCAGTTATGAGTTTTATGTTATACATAGTTACATATAACTAAGGTCTCTATGATATTTTAAAGTCTGGATATGGCTCAGATCTTTCCTTCAACAAGTCCTACTTTATTGTTTAATGCACACAATGTACCTGTAGAAACAGATATGAAAAAGAGATTGCAAGTGTGGAAGAGTAGGAGAGAGAGAGAGAGAGAGAGAGAGAGAGAGAGAGAGAGAGAGAGAGAGAGAGAGAGAGAGAGAGAGAGAGAGAGAGAGAGAGAGAGAGAGAGAGAGAGAGAGAGAGAGAGAGAGAGAGAGAGAGAGAGAGAGAGAAAGGATAGTGTTCAGTTGAAGGACACAGAAAAAGAAAAATATCTTCATAGATGCACAATGATTCCGCTGGTGAGAGACACAGACGTGTGAAAATGTCTGTTAACAGCACTGCAGCACAAATCTGTGAGACAGACACTAAAACACAAGCAATCAAATGTCCTTATGTTGTTAAAAGATCATGCTGTACTAGGATTACATTTCCTGAAGGAAATACTGGTGAGTGCAAGACAGCAAAGGTGTAGTGCATATCTTAGGTAATCTTCTAGTTCTTGGTAAATTAAATGATGCATCTGAGTCTGTTTGCCATGGTCACAGCACTCAGATTCAACATATTTGCTCTCTAAGGGCAGAATTTTGTCCAAATTCGTGGTAGCATTACATGTATCCTTGATGGAGAAAGTAATCCCAGAATGCACTGCAAAAAGCTCAGTGAAAACAAATCCAAGATGGCTCTTTTGGAACTCTATTGGAAACACTTGAGTCCTAAATGTGAGGATTTATACACTACAGCTATATTAAGCTTATTCGCCTTTGGCTAAGCCCCGCCCCCCTTAGTTACTGTTGCTACGTCCGACAAACAAACTTCATCTGGGCTCTGGTATCAACATGGCTTATGCTGCTGTGACAGCTCTTCCTGCTGAAATTTGATCAAACTTTTATAAAGCAGCAAATAAAGTGTCCGATAGAAGTAGGCAAAAGGGGCTGCAATATATGTTCGAAGGCTATATTTAAGACATACAGGTGAAACGCAAGGAACAAGGCATCCTAATAGAGTCAAAAGCATACCGGTCACAGTCAAAAAATTAACCACCGCATATCCTACTAATCGAGACGGAGGCTGGGACTAACAATATCAAGGAGCAACACTGTTCATGCAAAGCTGGGTAGGTCTCTATTCACTTATAATCGTTATTACAAAGCAAACAGACTACGCGAGTATAATGTTGTATTTATTAGCATCGTGTGCTAGACGACACTTGTCACGATTTGACTTCGGTTTTGGGAAGGGGAAAAAACGGACACCCCCCTCCAACCTCTCTGGGGAACGCGTTTCTGTGTTACAAATGCCCCAGGCACAACGTTTAACCATATTTTTGATAAAACTACGACGGTAATAGCCGGCCGAGACCAAAAAATATGAGACACCTGTGTTAAAGTCAATGGAGCGCTGTGAAAAAGTGTCGGACCACTGTGGGAGCTCGTTCTTGGCTGCGCTGTGATTGGTCAATCTACATTCTAGGGTGTGGCTTAGCCAAAGGCGAATTAAGCATTGATAATAGAATTGTTTTTTGAGCACCACATCAGAATGATTTCTGAAGGATCATGTGACACTGAAGACTGGAGTAATGATGCTGAAAATTCAGCTTTGTAATCACATGAATAAATTACAGTTTAAAATATATTTAACTAGAAAATAGTTATTTTAAATTGTAATAATATTTCACAATATTACAGTTTTTACTGTATTTTTGATCAAATAAATGCAGCCTTGTTGAGCATTAGGTAGTTCCTTAAAACCAACTTTCAAATTTATATTCAAAATCAGTGCATAAAGGCAGCTATAGAATGATAAAAAAAAACTATTTTATTAATGGAAAGTTCACCAAATGAAAAAAGATCAACCATTTTTTGGGTGCGTAGATAAGTGGATATAGCATTACTTTCATATGAAAAACAAAAGATCCGCACTCGCTTGTGACTTCTTAATGAATTAATACATTTGATTTAATTCACTGAAGGCGGCTGATTGCCGAAACTTTTCATTGATCCATGTGCTTTGTTGCATAATAAATAAATAAAAAGTATAATTATAATGACACAAGCGAGTGCAGATCTTTTGTTTTTGATTTGAAAATCAATGGAAGGCTTTCATAATAAAAAATAAAAAAATTAAAACAAATATAATACGAACCCTAATCAGAATGTTTGAGGAATGTCATTACAGTGCTGCCTGACGAGCAATGCAAAAAAGCATCTGAAAACAGCCAGGAGTGCCTTTCTCCGCTGTTATGTATGGAGTTGATTTGTCTATTCTAAGCTGTGAACAGGGCTGCGTGTTCTGCGAGTTACATGGACTCGTTTGAACTCTCGCTAAAGTGCTAGGACAGCTGACAGCAGAGATCCTGAGAACCGATGTTTAAAACTGCTGTTAATCAACATAAATAGACCATGAAATAAAGAGTATCTCTAAGTGTTAAACAGACTGGGCTCCAATCTGAGTCAGAGCAATAGAGGCTGCCCACCCGTTCACAACAGAGTGAGGGCATCAATTATATAAGCTTTCTTACATTTCAAACACACACAAAGGAAAAACATGGAAACACTGCTCTTCCATGAATGCTGACACTATCCCTAATGAGTCCAGAGGGGGGACACTCCTGTACCCTGAGATTATTAACAGCCTGACATCCCGTTCCATCTTCGCCACAACATCCCTTTCTTAATCGCTACAACACACTCCCATGTGAGACTCCATGAGTTTGTGTGTCTGTAAAACAAATAAATATCTGAAAGATAAACACTGCCCTCTGCAGTTCAAATGAATTAACTTAAAGTTCTGCACAACCAAATATGCACAAGCAATGGTACAATTTATATTATATTACATTATATTGTATCTACCTGGTCTTACTGCAAACATATTTTAGTGCATGTTTTAAGGCAAATAAACATTTATTTTCAAAACAAATTTTCTTTGCTGCCAATATAACCCAAGCAGCACAGGCAGGAAAACCTAATAAATCAAAAATATAAAAAAAATAATATAACATGTTTCCCCTAGGATTTTTTTTCGGGGGGGGGGGGGGGGGGGGGGGGGGGGGACTGCTAGCGTAGCGGAGCGGGCGTGTTACGGATACGTGGTGTAAATTTTTTAGCAATCAAAAAGAATTTCTAACTAATTGAAATAGTGTATTATGAATTATTAAACGTATACATTTAAAAAAAAGAAAAATTTCACACTAATTCTGTGTTGTGTTTTTTCTGGTAATAAAATGAAGAAATAAAACACAAATTTTATCATTTATCATCAAATTTAATCATATGAAATTAAATAAACTTTTTGTCAAATAACGTGCTGCACAATGAGCTTTACTGTTAAAATTAAAACATGGATTATTCCTTAAATTCAGTTTTGATGATAATTTATTTGGATTAGTGTAAGTATTATTACATTGGGACATATCTAAATTCTACTGTACAACGGTAATATATAATTTCTGTAAAGTTAAACCGAACTTTTATTTTGACGGGTTGCCGTGAAGACCTTTTGAGTTTGTGTGTTTGTCATAATGATAGTTTTTATCAAATGAAGCGGTTAAATGATCACGAAGTGACTTTCGGAGTGGATCTAGAGCCTGGAGAGGAAGTTTATGCATTTGTGTCTTCATATAGGCCAAAAAAACAGCGCAAGCGTCACACGTGCTTCAGTGTGTGTGTGTGTGTGTGTGTGTGGTAAATGAAACTGCGCATCGGCGGCACCATTCATTCACACAGAACAAGCTGGATTCGTATTTAAATTGTCTTTGTGGTTTAATATCCACACACACTTGTCTACATCGCGATTTGATTTCAAGTGTATACATTACAACTGCTTTCTATTTATTCCTCAAAAGATTGACAAATTCCATGAAATTCCACGTTATACAGTAAATTTCTTTTTTATGACTGGATTTCGTCAGCAATTTAGGGGGGGCGGGGGGTCGTTTTGGGGGGGCAGGCCGCTCCCCCAAAACAATGGTAGGGGAAACACTGATGTTTCATCCCAATGCCCACTGAACCCACACTGCAATCAAATACCAATAGATAATTAATAATAATAATAGAAATTTTTTTTTAATGCACTGTCTTATGCTCTTATACCCTGCATTAAACCAAACTAAATAAAACATGATACATAAATAACAATTACAATAATTATTAAATATTAAAAAATGTTACTAAAATGTGTTGAGATTAATTCAAGTCTCTCCCTCCATTATTTCCCCTTAATAGTCTATTTCACTCAGAAATATATCACACTATGCAAGTTAAATGTGCAAATACTGAATCATGTTGTCTTTAAGCCTGTTTTTATAATGAATGTTTTTAGGGCAAAGCTGTTGACTCATATGCATGAACATGAAACTTCCTGAGGGCAAAAGATGCCACATTACTGGATTTTAATCAACAGCATGGAAATCACTAGACAACCACACCCTGTTCTGATTCATACAGCAGTGCACATAAAAACAGAGGGAGAACTTCTAACGAACCAAAAGAGAAAGAGCGAGAACAATTCCTTGATAACCACATGTAACAAAAAATATAGACTCTGTGAGTGGACGTCCAGAAGCCGTGGCCACTCCTTCTGAATGAAAAAAGAGCTGTGGCACATCCACTGGATTTAATGCTGCCACTTTATAAACTTTACTACCATTCCAGATGTTTCTTTGCAAACTGGGTCTGCCACATACAGCCCCACAAACACACTGGCGGATAAGAGCAAAGAAAATGAACAGCATCTGAACAATGTGCAAGGCAATCTGGGAGTCTGTCCAGGTGGGAGAGAGAGGGGGATGTGTCAGGATAAGTTGGGTCATGTCTGTGCTATACAGGCTCTTAGATGCACTGGTGAGCATGTGTGCGTTTCTTACCTGTTGAGGATTATTGGGCATGTATGGAAGCATGGTGGACACGTGAAACATGATCTCGTAGTCCTGATAGGTGGTATACAAGGAGTGTGTTCCAGTTGAGTCCGCTGTTAAACATACACATGCATATTAATGATATTGACGTACAGTGAAGTCCAAAACTCTGAGACCACATTGAAAATATAGCATGAAAGTTCTAACAAAACTATAAAAAACTAATTCATATTTTGTTCATGATGATCAGGATTTACACAGAGTTCAAGTGCTGCTGTATGTTTATTCCACTGTTATGTGCTTTTCACTTTCACACTGTTGCTAAAGATATGTTACTTTGTACACTCTTCATATTGCCTTGCAAAGATGACAGAAAACTTGCAATTTACTTGCAATTGAGAACATGAGAGCAGTTGCATTTTAGATCAAACGATTAATAGTGATTAAGTGCGAACTGGACACATCAGTGAATGGTGAGATATTTTGCTAAATAAAACGATCCCGCCAGAACTTTATTATAAGCTCGCTTATGAGGATTTACGACGTTTCAGTGTGGATGAGAAAATGTGAAATGCTAGTGTGGACGGAGAGCGTTTTGAAACAAAAACGGTTTTCAAATGTATCCGGATTAACGTAGCCAAAGGATTGATTTTAAACAGTGCAAGGAGTAATTACTGCACCACCAAATGGAATTACAATCCGTTTTAATTCGTTCCTGAGCAAGATTTTGGGCCATTGAAAATTGACAGTGAATTCTTGGAGCTACCCAGCGTGGTGGCGCTCCTAATATAACCAAGAGACCATCAAAATGTATTTTCACACAAAGCTTTTCATGGTCACAGTTGAACTCAAGATTAACATAGAAAAGATGTGATTTATCGCTTGACACTTTATTGTGTTGAGCCTTTTTAGGAAATATGTAAGTGAGACAGAAAGCCATGCTCACTTTTGGTGTCTAGCTGGGCAGCATATTTGTTGAAACCCCTCAGACACACAGTTTCTCCCAGCAGATCGAGGAAGGCGGTGAAGGCTGGCGTAGCCTCTTCATTGTTGTACATCTCCTCCTCCGTGCTCTGCCCCGCTCGACACAGCAGGATGCCCACTTTGTGTTTCTGACTGAGCTATAGAACACACACAGTTATGGAGCCGGTGTTACACGCACACACACAAATACATGGAACAGCACCTTTTATATTGTTAGGGAGCAATTCATTAAAGAACTCATAGACGGACTTTTGACACTGTACTGGATGTAGTGTCCGACTGGTCATCCTTTACTCACCCCCTGCTCGTCCAGTTTAAGAAGCTGCTCTGTGACCTTTGGCGTGCTGAGAGCCAATCGCAGACAAGATACGCTGAGCTCTGGCAGCACATACTCCAGAACTTCTTTTAAAGGCAAACCACGAACCGTTCCGTGCTTCGCTGTGGACAGAACCGCGTCCTCCAGTATCGCTCCTCGCAATGTGACCAGCTGCAGCAGCCACAGGAAACCATGTGGGGAAACACACACACACACAATCAAATACCATCATATGACTGACCGAATATCATCTGAGAGCATGTGACAGAGCATGAGAATGATTATGAATGGCTGAAAAATGGTGTACAGAAGTGCCCACTGTGTGGCATCCTTTCCCCACTGCTCCCTGATTCATTGCTTGCAGCATCTCTGTTAACCTCACATGCTGATGCTAAAGCCATTAGCTACTGTAAAATTAATACACACAGGTGGAAACACTGGAATTTTTAAAATAGTTTGTTTTTGAGGCTTGTGTTTCTGATTTCTTGTGGCATGAGTCACACATCTGAAGATGTCACATGACCGTGTCACATGGACAGCCACCCATTCAATCATTTAACTCGAACCTTTGACCAAAATAACCCTCTTGAACTAGTTTGCACGTTCAAGGCTGTTTTGAGCACATTTTTAGTGGGAATAATGACTGTGTGAGTGTGAATGACCTGAAGACGCTGCATTGTTCAGAGTGGGTGAGTTTGATGTGTCCAGACAGCCATGTAATCTGACTAAACCCAGCAGAGCTGCAGTCATACCAGTACAGCTCAGCACTTTTCAAACACGCCATTATTAAGCAATGGTAACCTCATGGTCTTTATCGCAAACACGCAAGGCACCAAACACACTCAGAAATTATTTTCACTTAATGTTACTTCATACAGGACACATGATGGACAGATTTATAAACACATGACATGAACCAGAGGCATCATGCTTATTATTTTATTATCTTATTATTTATAATTATTTAGTCCTGTTTTCACAGCGTCTCACATTATGAGCTTTTTGTTTTTAAAACGGCAAACAAGTTAAAAATAGTCTCAGGATCCCTACATTGTGCTTATAACGGGCCCCAAAGGTATAGGGTTTTATTCAAATGGCCCAAAAGTCTTATTGTCAAGCAGTTTCATCAGATTTAATCAGATAATAGTGAGAACAGACAACAATAAGCTTCAGTTTCAAGCTCAGAGAGGTAAATAAAAGTGGCTGGAGAAGCCCATCGAGTCTGTGGGTGTTTGTAGGAGAATAAATCATCCTGTCATGGGTCCTGATTTGAGCCCCAGTTTGATCCAGGTTTATTTAATTTAACTTGCACATATCTTTCCTGTTATACACACCTCACTAGTGCGAAAGATGATGCGGTACTGGTACTGGTCCTTTAAATCTTTGGTATCGTCCAGTTTCTCTCGCCGGATACTCAGAGCCACGGGCCCCAGCTTCTCATCGGTACCAAAGTAGTTCCAGTGCTCTGTGGAGAGAGATAGAGAGAGAAATGAAGGAACATAGAGAGAGGACATAAAAAAAGACAGATTAATACCATTAATACAGAAAATGAGACAATACAGAAGAGAAGAAAAATAATTAATGAGGTGAAGACAATGGAGAGGAGAAAAGTGGAAGTCGATATGAAGGATGAGAGATGGAAGGAAGGACACAGGGGACAAAGAAGGGATTTATAAGGAAAACTTACAAATCTAGGTCATGGTGGCTATAGAACTTCCTGTAGGTATTGAGAGCATTCAAATCTAATGAAAAACCATGGACAAAGCCGATACTACACGCGATTTTGAGAATAAAGGAATGGTTATTCTCCTGTGGTATTCCTACAGGTTTTTGCAGAGGAGGATAGAGACTTCTAAAATCTGCAATCTATTTTTATAACCTATTATTTAGTTTTCAATACAACATTGAATATATTTTATTTTAGTTTAGTTTTTCAATAGCTTTTCGGTTTAAATGTATATCATTGCATTCAAGACAAACATAACCGCACATTATGTGGTTTGTCTGTGAATCAGTGAGGAAGTGGTCTCCTGTGGTCCTTTCGGTCTGATTCAACTTCTGGTTCAAAGAGGACCATATCAATCATGTGATTCGTTCACAAAAAGGACTGCATGTTCCACATGCTTGTTTCCACATGTTTGTTTTTGCATGGAAAAAAGCATGAAAATTGCTATGGGGCATCACACACTGCTATACTCTCCGATATACTGCATCCACGGATCAAAAATACTACATAGGAAGAAGAATGATGTGAACGTGATATCCTTATATTTTCCAGCCATAATTTCTTGATGGCATTTGGGATAATGTTTCTTTAATCCGTCATCCGGTATTTCTCATCACATGATATGAGTTTAGTTGCTTTGTAAGGGTTCTGAAAGTTCAGGAAACTTGAGTTGAGAGAATTATAAGTCTCAGGAGCATGCAGATATGGGCTTTTTAATAACGCAGCAAAGATTTTGATACTATGCAAAATGTTGCCCTTCCGGACTGAGGAATGCCAAATCAGTAGAGCTACATGGCTGGCACTACAACACAAATACACCTGCAATACTTTAGTGACTCATTGACTAAGTACCTCAAAAGGTGTTGCTGCACTGGAAAATAAAAGTAAACGGGTAACAAGAAGTAATTGGCACCAAAAGGTAAAATACCTTGGTGGCTTGGAATCATCATTAAGTTAAACATTTAACACTTAAATGAGAAAAAAAGATCACACAATGACTTTAATGGCTTAAAGGTGAAAAGTATTATTTTAAAGTTAAAATACTTCCTCTTTCCCATCTTACAATGGAAATACAACTATAAAGTAAGTCAATCATAGGCTTATTCTCCCAAAAGGTATAAAGCCTGTGGCGCTATTAAAACATCCCAATTAACTGAGTATCTGAGCAACGTAAGCTCAACAAATAGCATGAGTTTGGAGCAGGATTATCTTTTCATCGAAACAATTTCAGATAGGAGGACATGTATAAAATTTCTCTTGCGTTTGCATTTGATGCCGCTGTGGTGCAACAATTAATTATCTTTTACATGGGACATTTGTCATTGTATCCATATCCCCATGTTAAGATGGTTGCATTTTGTGCTGCTTAACTTGAAAATATAAAACTATTATGCATGCCCTTTCTGGCATGCAGCCTGGTCATCGAAAACAAACTTCCAAAAATCTGGATGACAGAGATTACTTCTGAAACAGTAACCTTTCTCACCAGCTTGACTCTTCATAAAAACAGACAACTAATTAGAGCATTCAGATAACTCGCATCTGCAAGGATTTATCTAATGTGGCTAAGAGGTGACGAGCGTGCTATTTTTAGACATTGTGGGTTGTTTTTACAACATTGGCATTTTAAAAAACCAAGACCTTTAGTGAGATTAACATTTGGGAGGCAGATGTGTGGCAGGAGTTTAGCTTCAGCTCCAGTTTGTGCTTCTATTGGCTAATAGAAAGAAGCATTGATAATTGTGGCATGCTTTGATAATCTCTTCCAAAGGAAGGACTATAGGTGGAACTTGGTTTTGCAGGATTAAATAAGCTAAAATAATGTAATGTCCTGTAATGAGACTAAATGAAGGGAAACCACTAAATGTAGGAGTATAGTTGAGGCTAGGGCTGTAGATACAATTGGAGGTCAGACCACCTCTATGAGGTGCTATATTGAACATAAATGATGTAAACCATAAAAGAGAGATTGAAGCTGATCCTGAAAACGCATTGGATTTCAAATGCAATCCAATTATGATATTCAGATGCATTATTCTGATAGATGTATCAATGTAGTTGGAGGTTCTAGTTGACCCAGCCTAAAATCAATTATGGGCAAACGGTACAGTCTTCTAATGTAGCAGTTTCCTTTATCTAGATAGAAACCATAAATGTCCTACCTTTCCCAAAAAAGTGCTCATGGTAGTATTTGGCACCCAGGTCAACATGCTCGATGCAGTGCTTCTGCAGTCTCTCTAACCTCGATGCCCGAACTTCTGGCAGTAACTCCAGTTTGGACACACTGGCATTACTGCAGCGAAGATGAAGCTGAGCCTCCACCACAGCAGGCTCTCCTCGCTCTGCCCACGAGCTCAAGAAGCTGACGTTACGTTCCCCACAGCTTCCGGTCTCATTGAGAAAGTGCGGGCAGCTCAGCAACAACTGTTGCTGAGAGTTGGGGTTAACGCTAGCTGAACCACCTTGCTCTGAATGTTCTAGTCCTAGGGTTGATCCTTCTGATAGGTCTCTGACACTGAGGTCATCAGTGCTAGAAAAGTTGGGCTCCACTCCCCCCAGAGCAATAGCTCTGGAAACTGCCAAAGAAAGAGCAGCTGAAGAGGCAGCCGAAGCTCCGGTGGCCGTATTTCGCCGTTGGGCGGCGTAGCTACGCCGAGCTGCTGCCTCGTGCAAGTCAAACAGAACGCTCTGAGAGTCATAGTGGGCAAAACTTCGCACACATAGCCAGGGTTTGGAAGACAATGTCTCGGGGGGCCGTGTGTCATCCGCATCACCACGTGGATTCTCCGTTTCACCCCGACTGGAGCTACGGAGTTTGCGGAATAAAGAGGAGGTGCCAAGGGATGACTCTGTTCCCCCACTCTTTTTGCGTACACGATTCTCCGGGCGGTCATCGGGCTGTGGCGTTGACAAGAAGGCATGTGAAGAAGGTCCCTCTAAAGAAGCACCAAGCAGCTCTCCAAGCTTGGCAGGGGCTGTGCTACGCTGGTCTGGTCGCTCCTGTTGAAACTGATTTAGCATATCAAAGAAGCTTTGCTCAGACACAGCCTGTACGTTGATGGAAGAGGTACTGCCATATTCCCGGAACAAGCGACTTTCGACCTCCGATTCATCTTGCTCACTTAATGTAATCTCGCTGTTGGAGCGCTGTCGGAGGGGAGCAAATACAGAAGCCCGAAACCTTGGTGGTGTGCCTGGAGGCCTCAGACCTGATTCAAGGAAGTCACCATCCCTGGTTACTCGCTGTGGCAACCTGGTCACACCTCCATGTGTAAGCCCATCCTCACTGTTGACGTCATCCGGATGATTGCCTTGGCCATTCTCAAGCAGCGATTCTCTTGACAGTGCCCTGCGTGGAGGCCACTCAGCAATCCGAGCTCGAACCCCCATTTTGGGCATTGAGACACGGGGTGGTGCAGGATCGCCCATGGAAGAGTGGCCATTATGGAGGGGTAGACGGAGATGGGGTGGAGGAAGAGGTTGAGAGAGGGGGGTGGCACACACCCCTGTATCTCTGTACATGTTCATGGAGCCCACTGTAGTCTCAGGGCCAAAGATGAGGGCAGGGGTTGTGGGGAAGAAAGCATCCTGGATCGAGACTTCTGGTATTCTGTGAGGAGGTGTTGAGATGGACAAGCTCCACACTGCTGTTGCTTCCTCCTCTCACACTCATTTCTTTAGTAGGAAAGGACTAACCTTTCCTAATCTTTTTGGAACAATCATAAAGCTCAAAGGCCACTCAAATCACAGACCTGCAAAAAGGCAAGAAAAAAAGAAAAATTAGTATGGTTTTCATTTAATCTGGATACTTATATACAACATATGAAAACATTCTGTTTTTTTGGGGGGGTTTGTGATCTTTTTTCTTTTCCCTACATACCACTTACTCTAAGCACTTTGGAGCCCCCACTTCTCCCAAACCTTTTTTTCTAATATTGTGATGTTATTTTGCTCAAGGGGATAGCAGTTTTGAGAGAAAAATGCAGAGAAAAGCTGACTGAAACTAAAATAAGAAAAGGGAGTAGGATGAAAAAGAGACAAGAAGAGAAATAGGTTGGTATGAGAGAGGAAGTGAGGTGATCGGATTTCAGATGTGGATTTCTCATACTCCCTTGGGGCTAATCTCTATTCCTCTTCCTGGCAGATATTCTGTATTAAATCCACTATTACCACTTTATTTAATTTTTTTAAATATACAGTCAAGAAAATGATTTACCAAAAATCTCTGAGTAAGCAGCTACAACACCTAGTTCTACTTAGCAGCTGGACAATATTGTTACCTGATGTGATGTAACAATAGATGTAGATAGTACTTGCAAATAAGTGTGAATGAGTGAGTAGATACACCAACTGACAAAAGTAATAGAACAAATGACCTTCGACCTGAGGGGCACCTTGATAACTGTATTGATTTTGGACGTAAAGGAGCGAACCAAAAGTCTGAAAATGTGAAAGTCAGATGTAGTTAACTAGATAAGTAAGTGTTTATCAACAGTTACGGCAAACCCCAATGCCTACTACTACTATATGGCCATGCCCCCTGACACTCCGACAGGTGCTGACAGATTTACCAGCCATGAAAACCATCACCCTGGTCACATGACAGCTATGACAGATGGAAACGTTGGGTCAGCAGGGTGAATTACCTGAGATATAGCTGAAAGTAAGATTAGGATTCTCCCCACATTCAGCTGCACACAAAAGGAGTTACATAACAAGGACTCTGTGCTGGATTACTGATGGGAACTGCTGAGTAGATAATAAAAGGTGGACATTTTACAGACTTAACCAAGAATGCATAAGCATAGGATTCTGATACACTCTAGATTTTGAATGAGACGCTCAAACTTTGTGACAGAGAGAAAGGCCCCTTGAGTCGTACAGTATCTCCACATGCCTCACTGTGAACAAATGACAAAATGAAACTGACAGAAAGTCAAAGAACAAGACAAACACAAAAAGACAGGATACTAGGAAGAGGCAGAAGTAGAGCAAACAGAGGAGCGGGAAGAGAGGAAATCTGACAGGGTTTGTGGTGAAGGAATCCAGGGAAGAGAGCAAGAGGGAATCTGAATCCCAGTGACTCGCTTTAATATGAAAGTCAGCTTGAATCAGGCTTCACTGCAGCTCAGTGACTATGAAAAGCCACTCAGCATCCCCTGTTCCTCCGTGTAACTTCACGTTATCTCCCTTTTCATTGTCTCTCACCATCTCTATCTATTCCATTGCACTCCATCCATCCAAATATTAGATTAAACATCCACAACTTGTCTCTCTGTTTGTGATAAGTAGGCTACAGTAATAGCATTGTATGAGACATCTGTCCATTTATCATTTCAACGGCATTGTTATTGTTTAATGATCCGAGTACTGGCCAAAGAACAGCACACTATACCCCTTTTCCCTCCAAGATTAACGCCATCTACAAGACATTTCTCATACATCATGTCTCTGAGGTGAGATTTAGGCACAATCCCCCCTCAAAATCTATCCCTTCAGGCAAAGGTTCTTCAATACATTTTCAATAATTCATTTCAAGGTCAGTCTCAGCTTAAGACATACATTTTTCAATCTCTCATTGTCTAATAAAAAATAAAGAAATCTATAATGTTTCCAGCAGTTCCTTTTCTGACCACAATTTAAGCTGTACACTAGTTATGAAATAATTACTGATGTGTAGTGTACATCAAATTTATCCTCTGGATCTTAGATTACAATGATACATGGGTAATTCATGAAACAAAAACAACTTCAATACAATCCAGTCAGAACTAAAAAGAGTCATGTAGTTATTCGCAGTGTTTGCTCTAAGCTATGCCACTGGCAATACTTCGCTGATTTTAAATGGGTTGTGTGGAGCACTGCCATAGAGCGGCACTGAAGGTGGCTTTTTGTTTCAGTGAATGTAAAAGCACTTCAAGGTGAGTTTGTGTAAAAGTTTCACCCCCCAACATTTGGCAGATGCCACATCCCAACACTCACAGGGCAAGTTCACAACAGCAGCTGCAGAAATAAGGGGGAAATAATGTGTTACTTTCAAATTGAATGTTTTTCGGTTTCCCTCAGCCTGTAAATTCCTTGTTTTTATTCTGTCTGAGTGAACCGGGAAAAGCAAGTATGAACTGTGATATGCAGACGTTTAGACTAACACACTACTGGGAAGCAAGCCGACACCAAGTGCCAGATCTGAAAGACTTCAAACTGTTTTTAATTGTTCACATAGTAATTAGCTCAGATTCTGCTAGCTCAAACTGAGACCACACACACACACACACACGTAACCAGTAGTGATTTTAATTCAACTAACTTGGGTCTTATGATCCCTCCATCAGACATCAAAAGACAGGGTTTGGTGTCGGTTTGTGAGCCCTGGAGCTTTAAATCACACTAATTTCCTCTCGCTCATACAATTGCAGCCTACAGCAAGTGACTCAGCTTATTATACCTGCCACAGGCTGCCAGTGCCAGGACAAGATCTGTCAATCACAACACAGCTTGTTTCCTCTGACGATTTCCTGTCACTTTGTTTTGGGGCGTCAGACATGAACCCCCTGGTGATAGCAGCTGGCCAGTGTGTGTTTAAAATGGGAAGATGTGCAGTGGAGGGTCGGCGTTTGATCTGCCCTATAGGGTTTACTTGACTGGGTGTGAAGGACAGAGGAAAGCATATGATGCTGGAAATGAAAGGTGAGGATCATGGTGAAGAGAGGAAGGTCGTTACGGTTTCATGAGACTGTATTTCATGAGACTGTCATAATCCTTTAATTCACTAAGATAAGCGATGAAGGTCAAAAGTGTATAAAATCCATTGTATAAGTGAAAGCTAATCAATAAAGCAGAGAAAACGCATGCAAATATGAATTATAGATTAGAGGGAGGTCGTGCATGTGCCACACAGAGGGAGTTAGCAGAAAAAACGGCCACAAATTCTGCAAAATCGACTAGTCTTGGTGATCTGAATGACTAATCTGTCTTATATGAAAAATTATTAGTGCTGTCAGCCAAAAAAGGTAAGTTACACAATAAGACCAGAAACAAACGGGTGCTGTCAATATAAAAGATGCGCTTCCGACACTTAGCGACAAACATATTAACCAATACAAATTAAAAAAAGGGCAAACATCAGCTTATACACTCACCGGCCACTTTATTAGGTACCCCATGCTAGTAACGGGTTGGACCCCCTTTTGCCTTCAGAACTGCCTCAATTCTTCGTGGCATAGATTCAACAAGGTGCTGGAAGCATTCCTCAGGGAGTTTGGTCCATATTGACATGATGGCATCACACAGTTGCCGCAGATTTGTCGGCTGCACATCCATGATGCGAATCTCCCGTTCCACCACATCCCAAAGATGCTCTATTGGGTTGAGATCTGGTGACTGTGGAGGCCATTTTAGTACAGTGAACTCATTGTCATGTTCAAGAAACCAATTTGAAATGATTAGAGCTTTGTGACATGGTGGAAGTAGCCATCAGAGGATGGGTACATGGTGGCCATAAAGGGATGGACATGGTCAGAAACAATGCTCAGGTAGGCCGTGGCATTTAAACGATGCCCAATTGGCACTAAGGGGCCTAAAGTGTGCCAGGAAAACATCCCCCACACCATTACACCACCACCACCAGCCTGCACAGTGGTAACAAGGCATGATGGTTCCATGTTCTCATTCTGTTTACGCCAAATTCTGACTCTAACATCTGAATGTCTCAACAGAAATCGAGACTCATCAGACCAGGCAACATTTTTCCAGTCTTCAACTGTTCAATTTTGGTGAGCTCTTGCAAATTGTAGCCTCTTTTTCCTATTTGTAGTGGAGATGAGTGGTACCCGGTGGAGTCTTCTGCTGTTGTAGCCCATCCGCCTCAAGGTTGTGCGTGTTGTGGCTTCACAAATGCTTTGCTGCATACCTCGGTTGTAACGAGTGGTTATTTCAGTCACTGTTGCCCTTCTATCAGCTCGAACCAGTCTGGCCATTCTCCTCTGACCTCTGGCATCAACAAGGCATTTCCGCCCACAGAACTGCCGCTCACTGGATGTTTTTTCTTTTTCGGACCATTCTCTGTAAACCCTAGAGATGGTTGTGCGTGAAAATCCCAGTAGATTAGCAGTTTCTGAAATACTCAGACCAGCCCTTCTGGCACCAACAATCATGCCACGTTCAAAGTCACTCAAATCAACTTTCTTCCCCATACTGATGCTCGGTTTGAACTGCAGGAGATTGTCTTGACCATGTCTACATGCCTAAATGCACTGAGTTGCCGCCATGTGATTGGCTGCTTAGAAATTAAGTGTTAACGAGCAGTTGGACAGGTGTACCTAATAAAGTGGCCGGTGAGTGTAGATCAGCCTTGGTGTTATTCAGGGACTTCCTAAAAGTATCACAGTCATCCCAAAACACTGACATCCTCTGAATAAAAACAGGAACATTGCTCAAATTTTAATGAAAATGAATTGCTATAGGACAAGGTTGTGAATTTGTTGCAAAGTCCGCTTTGATGACTATAGCATTGGGTACTTCAAGAGAAATTAAATTAGAGATAACTTTTTAGAGAGGGTTGTACAAAGCTGACAGTAGTTACTGTTAGCATTCTAAAGTTAAACCATAGCATGCCTGAAGTCTTAAATGTTAAAACCATATAAATAGTTGTGTTTCTAAATTATTCACAGAAAATCACATCAATAAGGCCGTGTATCCACCAAACCACCAAAGTTTTTCACGCGGCTTTTTTTTATTGTTTTCATAAACGCTC